AACCTAAGGGAGTCTGATTGTTTCATTGTCTGGCTTCAGACTAGGCTACTGAGGAGATGCTATTGTGAAATGGTAGTCCAGGATTCCCTTCACAGATGAAAACTTACTTGACAAAGTCAAGAGGCAAATTAATTATTAAATTCGCATCTTAAGTTTTAATTAGCATTATGACATATATCTCCCCACAAACAAAATGCAGACAAATAGAAGTAAACTTTACAAGGGTGTTGAGGGCCATACTTTAGTATATTTCTCATATTCTTCATAGTCCTACAGAGTATTAGATGTATTTTGAAATGGTTTCTTGGAGCAAATAAAGGAGATCCAAGTATGCCCCTTGAAAAGAATTTTTTCATCAGGGGCATGAGAGATTGTTTCCCATAAATTTTTTGAGTGACAATTAAAAATATTCTGCTAATCATTTGCGTGTTTTCTTCTCTGTGTGATTTATATTCTCTTTATAAAGTATAGTCAAATGGATTAATCGAGTGTACTAATTATTAGCACCAGGGAATTCATTTTTATTTAGATTTAATATGCACAATCACATGCTTGAAAAATAAGAAAGGGTAAAGCAATTTCCTACTAATTATCTTTAGAACATATACAGTGGACACTGGTAAATGTGTAGTGATTTTTAAGGTGAATTTTTATGTTCTTTCATTTGTATCAGTTTGAACAAACATATCTATGCTCCAGACATATTTATAAAGATAGGAATCAAAAGCAGGCTGTGAAGAATAAGCTTTAACCAGTAACCCATATACTTTCCTGCTGCATGCATTTTCTATTGAAAGATATCTGGATCCAAGCTATTCCATGTTATTGAGTTTTAACATACCATATATGCTGTGTGCTGTGGTGTGTGTGTGTATGTGTGTGTGTGTGTGTGTGTGTGTGTGTGTGTGTGTAATTATTTCAAAAGAGCAGCATCAATATAACATATAACAAACTTGTATGAGTGGTTCATTAAAACAAAAATAAATAAAAAACAAGTTTTAAAATGTAGTTTTTCTCTAGTCCAGTGCTGTAAATTACGACATAGATTTCTTACAGTTTTAAACACACAGCACAACTTAAATTTGCTGTCTTTGATTCCAGTATTTTAACATTTCACATTGTTTTACTGAAGACTAAAGAATTCAGACCTTAGGATCTTGACTAAGACAAATTTAATATGGAAGGAATAGTCAGGATGCTATGAGAAGAGCATATAAATATTGATTGTTAAAAACAGCAATTACAACAATAAAAAGCCAGCAAACCCTTCATATTTTTTCTCCATTGTGCCCCCAAAGATAGGATTATATTCAAGCATGATGTGGAAATGCTTCCAAATAATTTATCCAATATTAGTTGAAGAGTTTAAGCTATATTTGAATGCAAATAACTGAAAATATCTTTAAAATATATTTGTGTATATCCGAATGTGTATCCACTGCCTCTATGAGAGAAGAACATCTTCAAGGTCTTGTGCCTTCTCTGGAGAGCCCCTTATTGCTTTTTGATAGTACATCACAGTTTCTTCAAAGAAAAAATCTGGGGTAAATTTTGACTTTTGCTCTCAAAGTTGGGAATTTGATATTTTCTTGGTCATCCCTTCTTTTTAAAATTATCTGTCTTAGGTAGTTTATTTTCAAAACAACTACAAAACAAATTTGTGTATTTCTCCATGGAAATTAAATGCAATATTATAAATGCAAATCTTGTCCATAGATTGATGTATGTGTTCTAACTATTGTTGAGTCTTAGTGAGATAGACTTACACCTATTAACTTTTTAGTTATGCTGAGGTGATTTAATGACAAGTGACCAGGTAAAGTCTGGGTTAGAATTACTTAATAACAATATATCAATTTGGAAGAGAATCTAGATTGTCCTTCTTATTTGACAGATGAGGTCATAAAGCTACTCTTAAATATAGATAAGTTAGAAGACAACTTTCAATATAAAGATTTTCTAATTCATTTCCAACAATATAAGAGTGTTTGCTATCACAATTAATTCTTTAGTAGGCAACAATACACGTGCAATCAATACAGCTATTCATGACAAAAATTAAGAAAACACTAGAAACCTAGTCTCTATTTTGTCAAGATTGTGTCTGGTCGCCCTCACTATTATCTTCATTGGGATAACCAAAGGCAATTAGAATCCCCATCCCCCATCTTCCCTTCCTACATACAGGCTATCCTTATGGAGTTTAGTGGGCACCAGAAGTCAAAGCTACCTATTTAGGCACCTTTGGGAGAAGTTATGGTTATATTTGTAAAAATATATATATAGGAGACCATTATACACTATAGACACAACAATCATTGATACCCATCATTTAATTTTCATTTCGAAGGGATAAACGAGCAGAGATTTTGTTAGAATCTTGCGAATTTTCCAGCCCAAGGATATTTCTGCTTGCCTAAGAAAGAGAAGAAACTGAAAATGCTTATATGATCATAATGTTGCCAAGTTGGCATGCCTCTAAATGCTTTAATTTCATCAGCAATCCATTAAGCTATAACTTTGATATTTGTCAAATTAAACAAAAGTAAAACTACCTAAGTAATCAAACACACACATTTAATACACATTTTTATAGATGTGTGCATGTGTGCATGCTTGTGTGTGTGTGTGTGTGTGTGTGTGTGTGTGTGTGTGTGTGTGTGTGTGGTCCAGTAGAAAACAGATTATTTTAAGAGAATAATGTGGATATTAAGGAGTAAATTTCTTCCAACACCATCACTATTTCTTTAAAAGGGAAAGAAAAAATGAAACAGGAAGAGAGAAAGCTTATTTAACGGCTTCATTTCCCAGGGCATATTGCGATGCATTTAAAACTGAAAACAGCCCAGAAACCTTGTGTTGATTTTGCCTAGGTGAGTACAGAATTTCTGAAGATAAGAGAACAAACAGCATAGACATGCTATCCATTGAAAACCCTGAATCTATACAATTCAATAATAATAAAAAAGTATTTTTATATATAAAATGTCTCAAAAATACCAAAAGAGCAAATAAAAATATCCCCAACTGTGTTCCTAGGTTTACTATATACTTAATTGAGAAATATTTCACAGCACTTGTTTCAGTGCAATGTGTTCTGATTTACAGGGCTGAAATCAAATGACCATAATTCCTTCTGTCCCGACACACAAACTTAGGGAGTCATGGTTTCCTATAGCACCATACTGCAGGATTGGTGTGTGCAACTGCAGCATATATCAGACATATTCTGGCAGAGACCTGGTTACTGAAAGCCTTGACCATGAGCACTGGAGACCCCACTCAAATTTTAGCTGTAATTAGATCCAGGAGCCAATGGGCATTCTCTTGAATTCAGCTTGGCTCTTCTTTTCTCTTTTTGGTAGTTATGATATGTTAATTATGATCAAAACATTAATTTGTGAAGTCCTATTAAACAGTACTCTTTCTCCTCCAGAGAACCTTGCTCTTGCTACTTGGAAATAATGTAAATCATTTGAGGTGTGATAAATTCACAAGTATTTAGTTCTTAATCTGTAGTAAGGTAGATACTGGGCCAGAGGGTAAAAAAATGGAGCACTAATGTACACAGGGAATTCAGGAAGAACATTTTGATGTTAATTTTCCAATATTATTACTACTATTTATAATTATCATAAGATTGTTCATATATATTGAACAATAGCATTCCACAGTAGTCACTGGCAAATTAATATAACATATGCATTATAAAATAGAAGACATATCAGAAAATGATTCAAAGTAAAAAATAGTGGGTGACATTCTTTCTCCAGTAAATAATGAATATGTAGTCTATTTAGTTACAAATGTCCAAATATCTATTCATATAATAAAGACAAGGAGGGGAAAAGCAAAATCAAAGATCTCTTGTAGAAATAAGCACTTCCCTGTAAGTACATGAGCTTGAAGGACAAAGTACTGTTCTTCACATGTTTGCCATGTTACCTTAACTTTGAAAGTTTTGATTCCATCAGCACTTGTCAGTTGGTGTCCAAAGATGTGCAATTTGAGCTTGGACACTTTTTACAGGATAGCAACATATTCCGAAAGGAGACAAAAGTGGCCACTCAACATAATCATTATTATTGGCACTTTCCGGAGGATTTCTTGATGACTATAAATTGAGGAAGTAACTGAATCGCTAAACTTTATATCAAACTGCCGATGGATGTGTACAATATTCATGCTCTTTCAGAATACCAAGAGGGGTTATAATCAAATAATATATGACTCTACTTCATTTTTTAAAAATAAAGGGTTGGATCAAGACTTATGTTTCACTGATAATCTTCATGTTTTCTGTGTAAATAATATATTAAAATAATTGCAGTGGGTCACATAGCATATACCCTATTAGTGTCGAATTCTGAATGAATCCTCTATAAGCAATGGATAATATTTTAGTAAAAATAACAAAGAACATGGTTGACTTCAACAGAGTTGTGAGGCCTTCTGGTTGTTTGATAATCATGATAAATTTCAATATAATGGGTACTCTACTTATAGTGTTTTCACATACCTGTTAATTTTTAAGATGATTTTCTAAAATTTCCCCAAGATACATTTTTAAATGAGAATTTAAATGGTCTAGACATTAAAAATTTATACTAATCTTTTAAAATGCTAACAATATTACCTCTATATGAAAAACAACAAAACTATAATGGGATAACAAATAAATATCATACAACTTTTTGTTAAATATAAAGTGAATTTTACCAGTGTTCTCAACATTTGAGACCTTGAATTTTTTTTAAGTATTTCTGATAAAAACATAGTGTTCTTTCTTTTTTTCTGGATGACAATATGTCTATTAATGAATGTTCTCAAAGAGCAATTTGCAATATATTTTCAACAGAAACAACTTAACCTGAAATAAGAATTGTGTATATTCACTGTTTGATTCAGAAATAGTTACATTGCCTTTCCATGGAACGTAAGTCTTTCACAAAGAAATTTTAACAAAGGTTTTCCCAAGCTGCAGTAAAAGAAATCTTTTATATACTTTCAAATACTGTGCCTTTTTATTTAAAACAGTGTAAACATAACAACTCAACACCACCAATAACTGGAAAAAGACTGAGCATGTGAAACACTAATTTCCTTCTATATCCCATGAAAGTGAGGGTAAATAAACAGACAAATCTTCAGGAGAGGGTCAGTTCACCTTAGCAGTGGTAAAAATATTGCTTTATTCCAAATGAACATACAACACAATTTACTGTTCTTTTGGGGGCTTCTTGTGAACTGAATAGTCTGGGCTTTGTGATTTCAACAATTTATTCTTTCCATATTAACCACAAAAGCCGATGCCTTGGTCCACACGTGGTAGACTTGCTATAAAATAAATAGTAATGAGAATGATGAGAAAGCAAATGGTAACTGTCAATTTGTTTGCTGCCTTGTATAAATAATTTAAGTTGGCATGATTCAAAATAAACATACATCCTTGATTAATTCGCCTTGTGATACTCATATCAATGAGCCAATAGTTGTTCCTCTCAAAAATATTCACATCAGAAAATGGTCTAGACATTGTCAATAGTTTTTTAGAAACCCACCATGCAAGTGACCTTGATTTAAGAACTCACTAACTGAACTTTATACTTAATGGAAAAATTTGAAGTGAACAGATCTAAGAGGGAAATTTTTCTGAATATTAGATTCCCTGATGTTTCAGAACAAATTTTAGCAAGCTTAATACACACACACATGCACACACATACACACAATGAACACATGTGCATACAGCATATGTGCTCGCGTGAGCAAGCCCACACCCACGCACGCTCGCACGCACACGTGCACACACAATCTGAGAAACGCTCTTCCAGAGCCTCTAAACAATCTCAAGGAAAAACATTTCTACTAGTATGATTTTAGTGACACGACATTGTGATTTTTTGTCTCTTTTTTAATAATTTCATACCTCCTCTGAGAGTCTGTGCTTTCAAATCTCAGAGAAAGATGGCACATAAGAGTAGTTAAGATTGCCTCGGATTACTCCACCTATCTTCTGTCCTCCTTCCCTTTCAAGCGTCTTTGTGCCATTCTTTAAAAATCAAACAGAAAACACTACATTTTTCGACATGACATAACCTGTGATGAGGCTATTGGGTGAATAGAAATTTAGAGTTTGGAACTGGCAAGGCAAATGGCGAGGGCCACTTGCTTACTGGCTGTCCACCCTCAGGATAACAGCTCTCATCTCTTTGAAACCAGGTAACTGCCAGTGCTTGTTTATGGAGACACTGGCACTGTTGGGCGAAGGGTCTGAAATGCCCATATCTTCTAAGAACCAAAGAGGATAGTGTTAGGACTAACTAAAATTGGATCCAGAATTCTACCCAAAAGCTTTAGTGGTAAGCTTTATCCCTCCTGGAACATTTCTTTCCCTTTAAAAAAATATTTTGTTAAAAAACACTATGATATGAGGGCGATAGACTATTTGGTTTCTTCTAAGTAGATGCTCTTAAATTAATGCATATAAATAATTTGTATTTAATTTCCTCTCTTTCCTGTTGAGCAAAGCATAGAATGCACAGATTCCTACATCTCAAGTCACTTGGTCAATGCTGAGTCTCTTTGTATTTCATTTCTTAAGACAAATTGTGCCTCTCGTTCTGATTTGGCCGTGGGACTCAGGGGGAGAAAGGCTGTGTTTTCACTTGCACTGTCCTCGGTTTCTACGCTGGCCAGTTCGTAGTCTCCTGATCGTCTGGCGTCAGTCAGAATTCGGATCTGCTCCTGGACAGTTTCTAGCAATATTTTCACTTCTTGTTGTTCTGCTATAAGACAATCGCTGACTGGAATACTCACATTGACAACGTCAGCAGAGTAGGAGTTTTTGCACCATTGGATGCTTTTGACTTCAGAAGTCCCTGGCATTTGCATGCAGGTTTCCTCTAGACCCACTGAAGGGATGATGGGCACAGAACTGGCCCTTGTGGATGAATATCCCATCAGGTCCTTTTGCTCCAAGCTATTAAAATAGGAGTTTGTCTCTCTTGAAGGCAGTTGCATATTTATTGATGCATTTTGTTGGGTTTTTAAACCATTGGATGGATACCTGAAAAAAAAACAAAGTGTTACACCTTCTGTTTTCTGCTGTGTTTTGTTAGAGCAATATTCAATCCACAAAGCACTTGCCACATGCATCATCTCACTGAATTCTCACAGAAACCCCATGAGACGCATACTATGTTCCCAGTTAAACAGATAAGTAAACTGAGGCTCAGATAGGTGAAGTGACTTGCCCAAGGTCACACAGAAAATAAGTGACAGACTGAGACTCAAACCCAGATCTTCTTACTTTAAGTCCAGGGGTCTTTCAACACACCACAGCTGTATAGGCAGGTGAGATATAGTCTTCCTGACCTCTATCCTAGAATACAAAGTAAATGGGGATTGAGCAGGTAAGTGTGGCCTTTCCATAGTGACAAACAGGAAACCCATAACTGTATTACTCCACTCAATCAACTCGACCACCCTCTCAGCCCTGGGTTAGTCCAGCAGATTTGTTGTGGCCACCCTAGTTGGAAACAATCAAGAAGCCCAATATTAAGCATCAAGGTACTACAATTCTGAATTTTTCTGCTTCACACTGATTTTAGGTGACCCAAATCCAATTTCCATTGGCAGTCTGCTCGACAGGAACTGCCTCACCACCAGACTGCTGAGCCTGAAGGGAGGAATGCAAGGCACACAATTCTTCTGTTTGCCTGGGGAAGAATGTGAAGTGGGTTGGCTGATAGGCCTCTCTCAGTCTGGCAGTTTTCCTCATGTAGTTTCTGGAGCCAAGTAAGGTAGTTCATGGGTACATGGCAAGGGCTTGTCAAGAATGCCAGTGTGCCACTCTAAGTAATTTAAATATGCCAGAATCTTTCAAGTCCCCTTCTTGTCTGTTCAGGGCTAATAAATCTTCCTCCTCTGAGCTTTCTAGTGACAGATATATGGTAGGTTCATAGAAATGTGGTTTTGGAACTCAAACAGTAGTGTTTTGTTCTATATCTCAGTTTTTTTGTTATTAATGAAGACATTAAATCAAACATTGAATTTTGATACAATTTAAACGTATCAACCTGCCATATAAGAAACCTCATTTCATTGACTTACACTGTAATGTAAATAAAAATCATGTTTGTACATGTAGATAATAATTGCAATGAAGTGTACTGCCTGCTAAATAGAAGTCTTTATTATAAGTACATGATGGGAATAATTTAGAGATCTACCCACCAGACAGTGAGTAAAGATCGGTAACAGATTTAAACCTTAGTAATCCCATTCTCTCTTACTGTGCCTAATGCAGAGTTGGTGATCAATAAACTTAGATGAAATGAACACATGAATACATAAACAAAATCTCCAAGGTAAATGCTCCCTTTATGTACCTGTTAATATCCATTTTCAAGCATAATAAACAATAGCTAAAACATGCATGGTACTTTCAAAATTCACTTTCACCTCCAATTACCTCATTTTATTTTATAAAAACCTTGCAGTTTATTTATTATTATTACCATGTAATGGATGAGTAAACCAGGTTAAGAGGCACTCAAATGATTTGCCCAAAATTATACCTGTAGTAAGAGGCAGAGAGAAAATTTAAACTCAAGTTGTTTTATTCTAATTGTTATTATCAAAGTCAGAGGTGGCTAATAAATGGATATCCTATGGTGAACCAGAACACCATTTTGGGGATATATAATCTTTATTCATGCAAACTGTACAATCATGTATTTGGAAATTCCAGGGGGTTATTACTCCTTTCTCTTTTGTGTTAAGTCACCGAATATCTGAGTCTAAAGGTTATAATCAGTGAATCAATTTCAACAAGAAGAAAAGGGACACATTGCAGGCTCTTGTGTTTTGTTCCTGGTGTCATCCTGTAAGTATTGTTAGTATGTATGAATCTATAGAATGTCTTTCTACCAGATTCACTAATGAAACAGAGCCAAGAAATATAACTTAGATAAAATAGTATTTCACATAGCTATCATCAGGGTATACCAGCAGGTAGAATCTGATAAATTGATATGTGATGGTGATAAGCAAACATTCTTATACGAGGATCTAAATACTACTTGTACAAAATGTTGGATAAGGGTATGCATATCTTAAAGGGTGTTTTTAAATTGTAAATTCAACAAGTCAACAATGTAGCTCAACTAAGATATAATCAATGACAATTCACACTAAACTTGGAGCATTCTTTTAATATGCCTCAGTGTTATCTTATCTAAAGACTTAGATAAGAAAGAAAAATTGCAGTTGACTATTATGTGTCACTTCTCAAGCCAGTCATTGGACACATGGTTGGCAGTAACTGAAATCTTAAATGTTACCATGATGTGAAGACGGGCTTTAAACAATGAGAACTCTCCAAAATGTGATTTTGTTTTGAATCAGACATGATTTCAAGTCCCAACATTACTACATGCTCTGGAATCTTGGACAATTGGCATTTATCCCATCAATTAAAGTGACTAAGTAGTAATATTGACTTGATTGCTCTGGGGAGGGGGATATTTCTAAGACTTATTGAAATAGGGCCTCTGCTCTGTTCTACTAAAGTAACAGTAGTAATCCTCACTTATCCCCTAGAGATGTTGTGAGTATCCTAGCACTGGTCTTTGAGAAAAAGTTTAGATGATAATTAAATTTCTACATGTGATTCTGAGTTAGATGTCATTCACAGTTCTGTATCTCTTGAGAGTCAATGACCCTTTTAGAAGTTTTATCCATGAGCTTGTCATACCAGTTTGAACTGCCCTTCTCCTCCCTCAACAAAAAAACACACATGCATTTAATCTGTAACTATGTGAGTCAAAGCATTATTTTAAAGAAGAAAGATTCCAACTATTGGTCACTTGTTTTGTTTCCCAGTTATTTCAGGGTCATACTAATGAATTTACGTCTCTCTAGAGGATTCCAAGACCCAGTTCCTGGGACAAATGGCAATGAATGAATGGACTAAATTGAAAGATTCCATTTTTATCCCTGGAGGCATATAATTAGATATTCCAGTTACAAATGATCATCCATGAAAGAAATTTTCTTTACATCCCTTTTCTGATTTAGTGGTTTATTTAGTTACAAAGGCCAGTATTAAATCTCAGCTCTTCTTCATGGTATTGTGTATGTGATCTTGGATTAGCCATCCTTAATATGTTCATCTACAAAATTTTCTAAAGAGTAACTGAAGAAAAGTATGTAAAGTTACTAGTTGGTGTGGTAGATACTCAGTATATTTTGGATCCTATGAACTTTTATGATGTAAATCTAGCTTTTGTAATTCCATTTCTTTCTGTCTAGTGTATGAACACATTAGTTTGATTTGCCTAACAAATAATGGTTGAAAGCTCTGCAAGCCATTACCATGGCTATCACTGACAAGGACTCCAATAAGGAGAAAGGGTTTCTCAGTAATATCCTCTCTGCTTTACTCCTTTCCCAGGCTATACTGTGATAGGTGCTAAGTTCAAGTTAGACTAAATTTGTGCCAAGGAGAGAAGACGCATACCTTAGAAGCATAACTGCAGCAGACAACGCCCACATGCTTGGTAAACAAGCAGCAGATGGCTGATGGAGCTTGCAAATTCATTCTCTCCTTCTCCAGGGCCAGATTTGAAGAGGGTCTTTAGCTATGAAATTCTATTCCAATCCCATTTCCAGTCCAGAGAGACAGTCAGTCCCCCGGGAGTGGAAAATAGCTTGTTTTAAAGAACTGAGAATGAGATTGCTCCCTGAGATTCATTGTGTTGAACACACAGTGACTTATAGTTAGAGTCACTATTTATCAACATTGGGTGCATATCACACACAGGAAAATACCTGTGGCCAGCCAGTTGGACAGAATATTCCCAACCCAATGGTGGTTGAACCAAACCAAAACCACTGTCATGAAGACAAAGTGTGTCTCTTAGGAAGTAAAACAAAACAAAATCGCCTAAATATGTAATGAGTTCTCTGAGCTCTTGAAGATACGTGTAAGTATGGTTTGAATCTGGCACAAGCTCAGGGCACCCTTATACTTAGAACATATGAAAAGATAGTCATTAACAGTGTTCAACAGAAAAAAGTCATCATGAGCTGGGTTTCGTATTCAATCAAAAACCTTTAAAGTTGATTTTCCCTCACTCCTGCTTTCAACATTCACCTTTGGGATTTTATATATTTATAGTCATACTTCTAAGTAAGAGGCATCATTAGTGATTTACAAACAAGAAAGTCATTATGAAACATGATCAGTTATAATTATAGGCTAAGTGCAAACCCCCTTTTAGAGATAAGACCAAGAGAAATGCAAATTGCTATTTGACTTGCATTCTGCATATTGGACAACTTGACTATTATGTTGAATTTGCAACTGTCATCCTAAATCTGTACCAAATGCCTATTATAGTCCATTTGAAATTTCTTCAAAATTACAAAACCTAATCACAGGCTGCTTATTCCCTATCTTCTAATCTTTCTAAAGAAATCTGTTACTGAGTTTTGTCAGAACTCTAGGACACTGCTCCATATTTCCCATACACGGAAGGAAAGAGAAAGGTGAGACTCTGTGTTAGACCTCCCACCTGTTTTGTTCATTTTCCTGGTAGAGTGTCAGGAAAAATCACCCAGGCCAAAGCTGCATAGAAATCTGGCCCAGCTCATTCAGAGGGATAAAAACTAGGGCAACAAGAATTTGACTTGACTGAGGAAACATATTCCTGAAGCTTTTGGATTAAATCCTGACTGCATAGCTTTTGAAACTAATAAACCATTATGACAATTATTGTGACAATAAATAGGAGTACTACTTCTCTGCTTACTATGTGTTAGGTACAAACAGTTTACACAAATCATTTCTAAAAATCTGCCCAACAATTCTCAGAGGGTGTTTAAGTTCAGATAGTAAAATTTTCTCAAGCACATACAAATAGTAAAGGGCAGAAATGGAATTTGAACTCCAGTCAGTTTAAGGAGGGATGGTCATGTTTGGCTGAATAGTTTCTGACAGTCATGTGAATATGGCTAAAATTCATCCTGCTCTCCACCTACCAAGCTGGGAATCCTGTAAAGTTCTGTGTGAACCAAAGGAAGGGACATCTTTTACACTGTAATGAGCAGTAGTCATGGTGTCCAAAGTTTATCCTTCTACCCTATACCATGAGTAATCTAGAGATATGAGTTCAGTAAGTTGTACCATAACATTACATTCTCAATATTGACCCGAATTGCACATTCAAGCTCAGTAGAAGCAGATAGTGTATAAATGGTAAAGGTTATTGTTTAGGGTATTGTCCACAATACTGATCAGATAATTAAATCATTTTTCTAACCCACATATGAAGGAACATTTTAGTCTTCCTATGACACTTGATTATTATTATTATTATTTTTATTTTAATCAAAGACAAATTCCCAGGTGTTTTAGCAACAATATAATAACATATTGCCTAGATAGCTACACTTATTTTCTTCTTAGTGTTATGTTTATTCTCAACCAATGTTTCCCTAGGACATATTTTCATCATGTCTGTTCTATCAAGATGATTCAGTTTTTATGGAACAAAGATGGCAATAAGTTTAAATAGCCAATTAATTAAGAAATCAATGAATAAAACCCCAAGGAACTTTCAACTTAATCTAAAGCAATGGTATTAAAGACATCTTCCCTAAAGTACACTGCTTTTAAGACCTACCCTTGGCAGGGTATTGTATCCTGGTCTGGGATCCTTGATTCTTCTAGTTGCTGATATGCTGGTCCCACAATTCCACCCAGCCTACTTCGGGGTGAGGGGGGTGTCCTTCTGAAGGCATTCCGATGAAGCATCCCACTTCTTTGTGCTGGGCTGCAGCAAGAGGAGAGGCTCCTGCTGGGGTGAAAAAGAAACAAAACAACAACAAACAAAAGTGATCATAGCAATAACCTCACAGATGGCTGCTCCAACTTTGCAAACATTGCATTCACACCACAAATCCTTAACGTTCTAGACCCGGGACCATCCGTGAATATAGCACATGTGGCAAAAAGGAACAAGAAGGTGCCCGATCCATTTTATTCCTGGAGACACTGAGTCAAAGACAAACTCCTGTGTTTCTGGTTTTCCAATTTAGAATATAACTGACAACATAATGGCAGCTTTCCAGATAGAGATAAGAAGTGAGCCTTAGGAATTCTCAAGCTGCTGATTCCCATTCACCCTGATTATCCAAGCCATAGTAGATGTCTCTGAAATAGAAATAAAACAACCTTCTTATTAAACACAGACAAGAACTAAACATAGGAAGCTCAGAAGGGATTTATGAAAACATTTTTTACTTGTTAGTGATAGAATAAACAAACCTACTTTAACTGGCAATCTCTCATTAACATATGTGTTAAATTCCCAGTTCACTACCTTAGATTTTCATCAAACTTGAGAAACTAAATTTTCTTTTGAGTTTGCTTTCAATAAACATCTAAATATATATTTTATTTGACTCGTATATCTAAATACTCAAATAACCTTATGTTCACAGATGCCATCTGAAGGCAAAAGACATAAATGAGTTATATCATAGATTTTAACAAAGGGAGAACTCCTACCTAGCTTATGTACAACAGAAAACTAGACTCTATAAAAAACCAATTGCTAATTGACTATTCCATATCCAGTCTATTCCATATCCAGTCTGATCTCCATCACGCTAAATTTACCCTACTGTAGACTGGTGAAGAGAATTTTGTTTTGGAGTAGGCATTCTATAAGATGTCAGTTTACATAGTTACATAGGTTCTGCAGTGTTCAGATAATAAGTAAATTGAGAATTTTGAATTGCATTCTCACTTAACTATGAAAATAAAAAATCATATAAAGATATATAGAAAACCTTCTTAAAATTTCAATAAATCTATAAGCTCTAAAGAGATCAGTCTCCCAAAGGAATTTTACGATATCACTATATTATTTGGAGTTCTGTCACTTTCTCCTTTCAATATTACTGTTATTACTACTTAATAAACACAAAATAAAACTTTGCAAATATGAAAGCCTGACATTTGAGTGCTAGAAACCACTTTCATGGTTTTGGCAAGGTGACTGATCAAGTTTTACATTTTTCAGGTCAACATTAACTCCTGAATTTATGCAAATTCTGGCAACATTATTGTATCTTGATTCTTTTTCATTATATTTCTTGTATAGTGTGTCTCAAAATGCCTAACAACAAGGGAAGTCTAGTTAGAGGACTAAACCAACAAGTTTAAGGAGCTCTTTAATAGCTCATTTGTTTCCCTTCTTACTTCTGTCTACCATCCAATGGTAATGATGGAGTTTGCAGGGTATGAAGGCTTGTGTGCAAGTATCAGGTCTGCACATTACTAGATGCATTATGCTGGGGGAGGTACTTGTACCAAAGTCTTAGAGAAATGAATGGCACTTTAAATTGGGTCATTTGAAGATATTTACTATATACTAAGATGTGTTCAGTGTTTGAGAGAAAAAAATGTAGCAAGGGAGACTAACTGCACCGCAGGGTTAGTAACAACAAGAAACTGGTTATCCCTCTGACTGAAGGGACAAGGTAAGTGAGCAATACCAAAATGGAGACAGTGAGTTATAAGGAGTAGACCATTTGTCAGGCTCTATGGTCTCAGAAAAAGGAACATAGCTGAGGCAACCAGAAGAGATGGAGCAGGCAAAAGTGCTATATGACTTCACTCTCTTCCTGATCTTCCATCTTTTGCCTGTGCCTCACTGAACCAACAGAAATCAGAGGACAAGTGAAACTGCAGCCCTCCTCGTGCACAAGGCAAGGCAAGAAAAGGTAGAGGCTAGATGGTGGGGGCAGGGTGAGAGTGTCAAAAAGAAGATATTAGCATCATACTTAAGAATTTTCATAAGATTTCTATGGAAGTTAAAGAAAGTATGTAAAGTGTCAAGCATCAAGCATACAATAGGTGCTCAGCATAATTATTGTCTGTAGTTCTGGAAAGTCAAGTTTCCTCCCGATCACTGAAAACCCTGTCATTGTTAAAAACAAAAACAAAAAAACAAAAAAACAAAAAAGCCACATACGTGTTTTTGATAAGCGAGTTATGTTGCCAAAATATAATGTAAGAAGTATGACATGCCATAACCGATTTTTTTTAAATAGAATTTTTGTTTTCTTTTTGTGAGGGGCTAAACCTTAGAAAAAATGGCTTTGAATTAGTAGCTTTGTTTCATAAGTGAATCATATTTGCAGAGCACTAAAATAAATCAATTATTCATAGCTTGCTAAACTGTCACAACAACAAAGTCTATCAGTAGGAACTAGTGACCCATCTTAAAAAACAATTCTATGCCTATTGCTCAATCAGTTATTCAGGCCTTTTAACCCAGTGGCATTCAGGAAGTTATGGAGCAGTTTGCAGGATATATAAATCAGTGCCCAGGTTACCCATCATGAAAACATTTAAGTCGATTACATGTTTTACAAAACAAAAGCTATGATATACTACATTACAGTTTACAGTTTACATAAAGTTCTAAAAGCACTTTATAAGTCAACCCTGGATAGCATCAGGGCACAATGTATGCCAAAAATGTATGCAACGTCATGGAACCAAACAAAAAGGAGGGTCTCTTAAAGATGTCCTTATTTAATCTAGGAGTGACTCCTAGAATCCATAGTAAAAGCCAAGTTTAGGAGGGAGCATATAAACAGACAAGAACTGGGAGTAGTGGTATTGCAGCTCAAACACATTATAATCTGCAATTTAAAAAAAAAATCTCAACTTTCAAGCATATATGGCATAATATAGTTAATGTAACATTAGGCTAATGTTATTCTGAATTATTTTACTTGACTAGGAGGAATACTGTTTTAACATGTGTTATAATCAGTCAGAGAAAATACTGTTTGGGAGAGAATATCTATCTTTTAAAAGGCTAGCAATTTTAAACTGAATCAAGACAACTTCCATTAGGTCCAGTGAAATAAAATGCTCTTTTAACAGGGAAATATTGTGCAACAACTGATGCAAACCAAAACTTACAATAAATAGTTAAAGCAATTATCCAAGAGCCAAACATATTTTGATCTTGAGTTGAAAATATTTAAACCATTTTTTTTAATTGGCAAATCTTGCTATCTTACTCTCTACTCATGCAGAATGAGAATAAAAATCAGCATCCAGTGCTGAGAATTAGTGTGAAGAGTGACTAAAAATCTCAAAATAAATGTGACCAGGAACAATAAAGTCCTTTTCATGTGACTCATTAAGATGTGAGGGAGAAGGTAGTTTCTTTTTATCATGTATGCTTCTGGCATGACATTATGCAAAGCCCAGTATGTGAAAACAAAGGGTCAACATTTTTCTTTCATTGTTAGAAATCATTTTTTTTTTACCTTTTTCTTCTAAACATTTTAAATTTTTAATTGTCTTTCAAAGTTTAAAATACTGTGCTTCTCTCTAATAAAAGGAAGCTTAAATCTTTGAACAACTTCCGTGCAGATTGGAGATACATATTTGGACATACATAAGCATATTGTGTATTCTTACATAGGTTCCAAACTTTACTACTTGGTTTAGAACAAATATCTTTAATCTTTGGAGTTCCATATTCCTCATTGTGAAAACACAAAAGTGTGGACTAGAAGATGCTGAAGGACATATTCAGCTTCTGAGTGCTATGAAATGTATCAAATAAGTTTATTTTTCGCTTTCTCCCTAAAAGAACTAATTTCTAGGGTTAGCTTGCAAGAAAGTGCTACCCCACTGGTAAAAGAAGATCTTATAAATCCAAGGAGGAGGGAGGCTTTGTCCTTGTGGAAAGTTTTTGTTTTGTTTTGCTTTGTGAAAATAATGTTGGAAGACCTGGAACCTGTCACATCAGCTGCCTAGGGAAGAATTAGTCATTAACTTAGCGGACTAGAAAAGTCAAGCCAGGAAAAAATTCTGTTCTTAATAGTTTTACAGAATGCAGTTGTTTCTCTCACTGGTCTGTGCCTACAGCTTTGATGGGTGTTGTTAACAGTTCCAGCAGGTGATGCTATCTGCTGGATGCTATCTGCTGGGGAAGCTGGTATCTTTGGTTTACCTGATGTGATCTACTTGAGCATCTAGTCCATGGAAAACTGCAGGAGAAGCAAGAGCAGTTGTTCCTCCTGAGCCATGTTACCATCCCTTGGCACGTGCTACTCAGTGTATACATGGTGAACTCACTCATGCCCGCTCCCACCACGATGAGCTACCTGTACCTGTGGTGTTTGACAGATTGGCTTCCTCTGTCAGGAGAAGGGACCTCGGGGAATGACTGGGGGCCGACAAAACTGGACTCCATCATTTTCTCCAGTGCAGTCACAGGATGTCTTTCCGCCTTTGAATACTGTGGGAAATCACATGCACAGAGTTGAGCTGGAGGATAAATTATGAGAGGAGAGCCTATAACACTACAGTAGGTATTAGAAGTTAGTGGATGTTTTATTTGACATATATCTTATCCCTCTTCCCCAAGAAAAGTATTAGCAGCTGGATTACTAACAATAGGAGTTTAATAGATACTAACTGAATAAGCCTCATAACACTCTAAGAATTATAAAGGACATCGATTCAGAATATCTGCCCGCCACACTCTAGTGCTTCTACCTTTCAACCTGTTCCCAGGTAATTACTATGTCTGACAAGAGAAATTTGTGAGCATTTCACTCTTTATAGTTCCTAACCCTTGGTTTCACCTTTAACTATAATATCTCATAAGGCATAGCATCCTAAAGAAAGCTTAAAGAGATAGCATCTTAAGAAAACTTTACCCTAAAGGGACAATCACATGGAATCTCCAGAGCAGCAAGTTGTGAAGTTTAGCCCTCTCTGGATACTTGGCACTTGAACAGGGAGAAAGGGGTAGCAGATTTCTCTTCTAGAAACTCTAGATGAAGACTTCTTCAGAAATGACTTTTTTACAATGTTATTCACACTAAAAGATTTTTTGTAATCTGAATATTCAGTACCGACATATTATCAACCTGCAAATTTTAGATGTCATCCTAAATAACTGTAAAACCATAAAATTTGATAGTTTTTTTTCACTTCAAAAACAAATAAGCAATATTAGAGGCACTGACCAAAAAAAAGGAAGGGAATAAAATTAATCAACCTTTTTGAACCTTGAATTAATAAGATAGGATCGTAAAATCTCTCATTGGATTACTGAAAAAATTAATGAGGCAATACTTAATACACTTAAGTCAAGTAAAAGGAAGGTAGATGAAGATGACACTTTAAGATGTTTTCTAGCCTTTGAGGAATATTGTCTTTGAACTATAAGAAACTAGATACGTGCCAGGAATGGAGAATAAATTCCAAACCAAATGCCATCTCTAGTTAATAGATAGTGGTTGCTTGGAGTCTCATGTGTACGTGGATTCTAAGGATGACTTATGAAGGTAGAACTAGAAAAAGTATTATAATCACAAGAAAAATGAATCTAACAGGAAGAAGTCATTTTTATACAGTATTTATAAAAATGTGAGTTTTAAAATTAACACATGAGAGTAAAATCCAAAGAATTTCAGCATGACTGAAAGTTATAGATAAGAAGAAAGGAGTAGAAAAACAGAAACATAATCATTTTTTTAAAAATCCTGACTGTGCTTGTTGAGAATGAGGATAAAGTAAAATATGAATGTTAATTTAATTTTAGACACTGATAGACAATACATTACATATATTCATATATACTTAAGGGTGCAATAAAAATTAGGCAGCACTAGAATATAAGAATTATATAATACAGAAATCATGAAAGAGAAAAAATATTATTTATTCAGCAAAAATTAATTAAGGGGTTGAAACAAAAGAACATGGTGAATTGGAAATAATGCAGCAGGGATAAGTGTGAAACCACCAGTAATGACAATAACTGTGGATGGCTAGATTTAACTATTAAATGGTTCACACACTGATTTTAAAAATCTACTCATCTATTGTCTGAGAGAGATCATTTAGAAAGAACAAAGAAAAAGACCAAATAGAATGGGTGAAGATATACCCTGCAAAGTATAGAGAAACAGAAAAGCTTATAACAGGAATAAAATACAGTTATGTACAAAATATGTTTTTAAAAGTCAATGATGGATATATGTATCTAACAGTATAACTTCAAAAAAGCAAAGTAAAACTAAATCACTGCATGAAGAATTTGACAAATTTATAATTGTATTGAGTCTTTACATGTTATAGAAACGTGTGGAATCTCAAGTCTCAGAGAAAAACACAGGATTCAGGAAAGAAGGTGCTTGACCAACTATTACCAGAAAATAAAATGAATTTTGTTTTCTATTTTATATCATAAAAAGTCATGTCAATAAGGAGCTAAATGCAAACAAAAATGATAAACATTATTTATGAAAGTCTTTCTCAACAAGCCACAAAAATTACAAACAGAAGAAAGGAATAGAAAAACAGAAACATAATCATTTTTTAAAAAATCCTGACTGTGCTTGTTGAGAATGAGGATAAAGTAAAATATGATAAATATTACTTATGAAAGTCTTTCTCAACAAGCCACAAAAATTACAAACAATTAAAATTTTGATAATTTGACTATATCAAAATTAAAATTAAGTGTACTAAAAAAAGACTCCATAAACTAAAAAAAATCTGTATGGCAATAAGTATATTTGTTGGTAATAGTAAAGTCTAATTTTAGGTTAATCCGTATTGCTAGATTTTAATAAAGAGAAATAATACTGTTTGGATATCTGTCTCCAAATGTTGTGTTGAAATCTGATCCCCAGTGTTGAAGGTGGGGTCTAAATGGAGGTCTTTGATCATGGAGGCAGATCTCTTACAAATGGGTTAGTTCCCTACCCAAGGTAATGAGTGAGTTTTCACTATATTAGTTCACCAAGAACTGATTGTTTAAAGAGCCTGGCACTCCAAGCCAGTAGTGGTAGCTCATGCCTGTAATCTCAGCACTTTGGGAGGCAGAGGCGAGAGGATTGCCTGGGCTTACAGGTTCGAGATCAGCCTGGGCAATTTGACGAGACTTCGTCTCTACAATAAATCAAAAAATTAGCCGGATATGGTGGCACACACCTGTGGTTCTAGCTACTTGGAAGGCTGAGACGAAAGGATCACCTGAGCCCAGCAGGTCAAGGCTGTGGTCAAGAGCATGCCACTGCACTCCATTCTGGGTGACAGAGTGAGACTCCAACTCAAAAAAAAGTAAAAATAAAAACATATGAGCCTGGCACTCTTCTCTTCTAGCTCCTTCTCTCTTGCAATGTGATACCTGCTCCTCTTTCTCTTCTGTCATGAGTAGAAGTTTCCTGAGGCCCTCAACAAAGCAGATTGTGGTGCCATGCTTCTTGTATAGACTACAGAATCATAAATCAAATAAGTCTCTTTTTAAAATAAATTACCCAGCCTTGAATATTCCTTTATAGCAGCACAAATGAATTAAGACAAGAAGATATTAATGAACCATTTGGCTAATAAAAATACATTTAAAAAACTTTATGAGATTATACAGGGAGATTTATTTATAACCTTAAGGGAGAAAAACACTTCTTACTAGGACAAAACACCCAGAGACTATAAAATAAAAATATATTAAGTTTGATTTACTACCAATTTAAATATCCTAAGCAGCAAAATGGCTAATAATCAAACAAAATTCAAGGTGAAATATTCTCTATCTGTGTGTCCAAAGGTATTCTTAAGCTATAAAGACTGCACAAAAATCAACTGAAAAAAAATGAAAGGTTGAACAAGAATTTCACAGAAAAATAAAGACAGATATGCAATATACAAATGGGAGGTGTACAACTACACTCATTGTAAAGAGATGGTAATAAGAATAGAGAAAATAAGCTCGGTGTATGTGGGAGTGAGTCCCAGCCACTGGAGGAGGCTGAGGCAGGAGCATCACTTGAATCCAGGGGTATGAAATTATAGTGCATGGTACACTATGAAAACAGTGTGCTATGTAAACAGCCTCTGCACTCCAGCCTAGGCAACACTGAGAGAATTCATCTTTTAAAAAATTGAAAATAATTAAATTTCAAGATTATACAGGAAACAAAATATATGGGAAAAGTAGTATTGGTGTTAAATTGGGGAACAAATTGTCAATATGTTTCAAAATTTTAAATATAATTCTTGGCCATTCCTGACACAATAGACTCTTTTGTACAATAAACATTAATCATTTAAGAAAGCTTAAAGTTAGAGACTTTCTAAGAGGATTTATTAAAAACTGTTAATTTGTCTTCATGGAATGAAACATGATCCAACTTTATTGAGACCTGGATATTTTTCCTTATGACTTTGATTTAATAAAATATTTGATCTCAGAAAAAAAAATTAATATAAACACCCCTTGATTCAGAATGTTAATTCTAGTATTCCCATTATATAGCTACCAGAGTATATCAGTAGTACAATTTTTAATAAAACAGAAAACAAATACAAAAGAGGAAAAAATTGAAAACACTGGACATGTCCACAAATGAATACTATGCAGCCATCAAAAAGAATAAAGGTTAAGTACAAAAAGTATGCATATGAATCTATTTGTATAAACAATGAAAATGCAATAAATAGACATACATACAATGTGTATATGACTACATAAATACACATTTAGCTTTATGTTTATATATACATACACAGATTATGCATGTACATATACATATATTTTTTTGAGTCCATGTTCATGCATGTGTTTCTCTTGCAACTAATCACGATGAAATTTTTCAGAAAAATTAAAATAAACTTTAACTACTAATTAGGTGTTATGCTTAGAGAAAACTGTATCCATGAGTATGAGTTATGGAGACTAGGGAAAATATCAAGGTTATCGTTAAGTTCAAAAGCTCCAACTAAATGTTTTCTTTTTAAGTACTTCCAAAACAAGCCACACAGTGGCAGTAATGACCATGTCTTGAAGCAGGATCTGACATTCAAAATGGACTTGTAGAAGCAGGTCAGACCTTTTGCAAAATGAAATAAAATGACACTACAAAAAGAAGATGCAGAGATAATTTGGCAAAAGTTATTGTTCTCAACAACCCAGAATAACAAAGATCCAATAAAGGATGGAAATACCTTCATGTGTGCTTTGTTATTGATTAATGTTGTTTGTTTAATTAATCCATTGAAAAAGTAAAATGAATCAACATATTTATTGAAATGTAACCTATATCCTGAATTTCTATATCACTTTCAGGTTCTAAAACAGATGTATTATGGTTTGTTATCTTTGTTCTCCAATGTCTAATACATTGGTTTAGAAGATGGATTCAGAAGTCTAGAAAGCCCAGCTACAAAAATAAGTGAGATGCTCTGGGTACATTCATGGCAAATTGACAAAAGCAATTCTTT